GCAACAGCTGCTCTGGACTCCCGGGAGACCATCACAGCTGTCAGCATCAATTTCCTCTACTTCCTGCCCAAGATATTAGCAGTTTGCTGTTTGCTGTCTGTCATCACCTTCACTGCCACTCCTCCTACCCCAGAGGAATCATGGCCTTTACCCCTGCTCAAAGCAGAGCCAATACCTTTAAATCCCATCCTCTCACATCTCCTCGGTTACCCTTTCCCCTTTCTGTCTTCAGCTTTTCCCTCTGGACTAACTCTTTCCCCTTAGCATATAAATAAGCTGAAGTCTCTGCCATCTTGGGGAAGAAAAACAGAAAACAGAAATGGGAAAAGAACGAACACACATACACATACACACACAAAGCCAGACTGTCTATTATCTCCCAAAATAAAAACTGCTTGAGTTTCCATTACATTTCCCACTATGGATATAAAAACAGAGTTCCTGCCTCTAGTGAAACAAATAAGTACACCATTCATCTATTCATTCAACTAATATTTATTGGCTGCCCACTGGCCACATGAAACATACTATCAAAGGTGGGGGGAGAAATATAGACAATAAACATATACACACATATTCAAACACACACATACACACATAATAATAAGTGCCTAGAAAAAAAACAAAGGAGGATGGAGAGTAATGGGAAGTGCTATTTTCGATAAGACAGGGAAGGCTTCCCTGAGGAAATGACATTGTACAGGAACTTCAGTAAAGGCACAGCAAGTACAAACGTTCTGGGACAGGAGCACACTTGATGTGTCCGAAAAACAGTAAGAAAGTCAGTTTGGCTAAAGCAGAGTAGAGTGAGCAAGGGAACAAAGCTAAAAAAAAAAAAAATCAGGCCAGGGATCCCTGGGTGGCGCAGTGGTTTGGCGCCTGCCTTTGGCCCAGGGCGCGATCCTGGAGACCCGGGATCGAATCCCACGTCAGGCTCCCGGTGCATGGAGCCTGCTTCTCCCTCTGCCTGTGTCTCTGCCCCTCTCTCTCTCACTGTGTGCCTATCATAAATTAAAAAAAAAAAAAAAATTTAAAAAAAAAAATCAGGCCAGAGAGAATACCAGGCCCACATCATTAAAACGATGATACTGGAGGGCCTGGAGGACTCAGCTGGTTAAGCAGCCAGCTCTTGATTTCAGCTCCCATCACAATGTCAAGGTTGTGAGATCAAGCCCTGTGCCAGGCTTCACACTCAGCTGGGAAGTCTGCTCAAGGATTCTCTCTCTCTGCCTCTTTCTCTACTCACTTTCCCACTCTCTTAAATCAATCAATCAATCTTAAAAAAAAAAAAAAAAACCAACTATGATTTCATTATAACCCTCACAAGAAGATATTGAAGGGAAGTGTAAGAAGTGTAAGAAGATCTGAGAGAAGTGTAACAGGTCTGATTTCAGTTTCCAAAGGCTCACTCGTGTTGCTGACAGGAAAATTCCAATCACAGTATAGTGAAGTATCCCAATAAAGGGTAATTGGTCAAATAGAAAGAAGGACACCTAATACTGAGTCAAAACAGGCTTCTTCTCAGAGAGTGATGCCTGAATAGAATACTGAAGGACAAGTAAGAGTTGGCAAGAAGGGGATCCCTGGGTGGCGCACCGGTTTGGCGCCTGCCTTTGGCCCAGGGCGCGATCCTGGAGACCCGGGATCGAATCCCACATCGGGCTCCCGGTGCATGGAGCCTGCTTCTCCCTCTGCCTGTGTCTCTGCCCCTCTCTCTCTCTCTGTGACTATCATAAATAAATAAAAAAAAAAAAAAAAAAAAAAAAAGAGTTGGCAAGAAGATTGGGGGTAGAGTGGTATCTCAAGTAGAGATGCAGAAAAGCCACAGGAGTTTTTTTTAAGTTTGGATTTTTAAAAAAAAGTTTGGTATTTCTTTTCCCTAGCATCAAACAGTCAAATAAATATTTCATAAAAATATACCACTAATAATGTCTACCCCCAAAAAAGATATCAAGGAATAAAACTAATAAAATATTTGCATGATCTTCAGAGAAAATATATAGAAAGTTGTAAAATGCTGTGGAAAGACATCAAAGAAGACCTATTTTACTGGAGAGGTAAAACCAACTAGTGGACAGATAAAACTAACTAGTACCCAATATGTAAAATGTGTGTTGTCCCCATTAACCTACAAATGATATATTTCAAATCAAAACCCCAAATACACAAAAAAGACATATACAAGAATTTCATGGCAGCATGATTCATAATAGCCCCAAACTAAAACAACCTGAATACCTACCAAAAGTAAAACAAATTCCAGTATATTCATAAAATGGACTAATTATATAGCAATGAAAATAAACAATAGCTACACACAATTCAACACAAACGAATTTTAAAACAAAACAAACCAACAACAGATTACATATAGCATAATTCCTTTTACCTAAAGTTTAGAAACCAGCAAAACTAACTCATGGTGTTAGAAGTCAGGATGGTAGTTTCCTTTGAGCAAAAAAGAGGAAGTACTCTATTGGCAAGAAGCACATAAGGTAGTTATGGGGTGCTGGGAATATTTCCTCACAAAGTAGTAATTACACACAGGTGTATTCAGTCTGTGAGAATTCAACAACCAGGACACTTAAAATGTGTGTTATTCTAGATTAATGTTACTCTTCAATAAAATGAAAGTGTGTTAGTGTCTGCAATTTCCTTGGAAATACATCTAAAAGATACGATGGATTGATAGAGAGATGGATAGACATGTTACAAAGCAAGTAAAAGAAAACGTCAATGGTAGCATTTAAGAGGTGAACATAAAGGTATTCATTGTAAAACTCTTATTTTATCATATGTTTGAAATTTTTCATAATAAAATGTTGGAGGAAAAAAACAATGTTTTTTGGTTTTGTTTTGTTTTTTTTTTTATTAACTCCACAAGCTGATTCTAAAATTATGGAAAATTAAAAAGGACAAGTACAGCTAAAACAACTCTGGAAACAGAAAAGGCAAGGAGAGACTGTCCTAACAGGTTAACAAGAATGATTGTTAAACAACAATAAATAAGATGATGTAGCATGACACAAAGATGAACAGAGACCAGTGAAACAGAACAGAGGGCATGAAAACTAATTCATGCACACTGTGAAACAGATAAGGCTGTTAGGACTTATTTGATAAGTAATGAATTACAGATTAGATGAGATGAATTTACAGAATACCTTTAATAACTCTTAGGAAAATAAATACTGAACAATAAACACAAGCTGCAGAAGAATACATATAATCCTCTCCAATAAATATATACATAATATAAAAATGAGAAATAAGATTTTAAATTGATTAGGAATATATTCATGTATTAAAAAAAATACAGAAATACTTGGCAATAAAATATCAAATTCAGGGCAGTAGTTACCCCAGGGACAGATGAAGTTCCATGGAGAACAGTACATAAGTCAGATGGCATGTGAGTACATAAGTATTTGCTATATTATTATTTACACCTTTGTTGAAATCTTAAGTTTTTATAACAAATTATAATTTTTTTTTAAATTTATGATAGTCACAGAGAGAGAGAGTGAGAGAGAGAGAGGCAGAGACACAGGCAGAGGGAGAAGCAGGCTCCATGCACCGGGAGCCCGATATGGGATTTGATCCCGGGTTTCCAGGATCGCGCCCTGGGCCAAAGGTAGGCGCCAAACCGCTGCGCCACCCAGGGATCCCACAAATTATAATTTTTTAAAAGATGTTATTTATTTGACAGTAGAGAAAGCAAAAGTAGGCAGAGTGACAGGCAGAGGGAGAAGCAGGCTCCCCGCCAAGCAGAGAACCCAACACAGGGCTTGATCCAAGGACCCTGGGATAATGACCTGAGCCAAAGGCAGACGCTTAACCAACTGAGTCACCCAGGTTCCCTATAATTTTTTTATTTAACAAAAGTTGAAGCAAGAGTGTATGGTTTGTAATTGGAACAAAAGAGCAATAACTGGAGATATCCAGGTGGCAAAGTTGGTTAAGCATCCAACTCTTGGTTTCAGCTCAAGTCATGATCTCAGGTTAGTGGGATCAAGCCCCACACAGGGCTCTGCATGCTCAGCACAGTCTGCCTGAGATTCTCTCTCTCCCTCTCCCCCACCTTCCCTCCATGGTCTCTCTCTCTCAAAATAAATAAATAAATCTTTAAAATAAAATAAAAAGCAAAAACTGGTGCCTTTGTGGCTCAGTCCATTAAGCATCTGACTTGATTTCAGCTCAGGTCATGATCTCAGGGTCATGAGGTAGAGCCCTGCATCATGAGGCTCTGTGTTCAGTGAGAAGAGTGCTTGAGATTCTCTCACTCCCCTTGCTCATGCATATGCATATGCACATGCACGTGTGCGCACGCTCTCTCTTTCTCTCTCTAAAATAAATAAGAAAAATCTTTTTTAAAAAATTTAAAAAGCAAAGAGTAGGAATGGGGGAATGATAAGAGAAGCAGTTAACAAAAACACAAAGAGATCAGATCTAGCAAGCCTTGTAAAAAAACATGGCTTTTGTTTTTATCCTATAGTGGTCACTGAACAGTATGAAGCTAGGGAAGTCTAAAAGATTACTCGGACAAGGTATAGGATAGGTTTCCTAATGACAAAGGCTTATTTATTTTTTAATCCGTAATCTTAGCACAGTTTATGATAGTGATGCTCAATAAATATTTACTGAATTAATGAATTTATGAAAGGGGTTAGGAGGGAAAAGCAGAGAAACAGAAAGATGAATCAGAAAGCAGTTCTATTAACCCAGGCAGGAAATGTTGGGTTTATAATGATCACCTAAACTTAACTATTTCTCAATTAAAAACTTTCAAGAGACAGGAAATAAAGCAATAATCTATAACATAAACATGAAGACCTTGGTCCAATTTAGGCAATATAATAATTCCATATGTACTCACCATTCTTCCGCTCACTAAGTGGAGGCAAATTGGGATTCCTGCCAGGGTGGAGGCCTAGGGTCAGCTCGGGCTGCAAGGAGAGCTCCTGCAGTTCATTGGCAACAGCTTCGCTCTGAGGGCTGGGGGCCGCAGACAGGGACACCAACACTGGTTCATCATCATTTTCGCCAGCCCCTCCTCCGTCCAGCCCATTCACAGCAATGACGGAAGGGGGCAGGCACACTACGCTGGAGAAATCCACTTTGGCTTTCGTGATGGCAACCTGGAAATGGAAGGGAAGACAAGGGTTTAGATGCAACTGTGAAGAGACAAACTATTCCACTGAACACATGCTGAATACTATTCTAAATTATGTGACTGGCAAGCTACCATTAATCTTAAGCATTTTCTCTAAAGTAAGCCAGCATCGTTTTTAAGTTAATGGTTTACTGGGATGCCTGAGTGGCACAGTTGGTTAAGGGTCCAACAATTGGTTTCGGCTCAGGTCATGAGATCAAGGTCCTAGATGGGCTCCACACTCAGCAGAGAGCCTGCTTGAGATTCTCTCTCCCTCTCCCTCAGCCCCTCCTGCTTATGCTGTCTCTCCCTAAAACAAATAAAATCTTTTTAAAATTAAGTAATTAACATTTACTATGCTCACAGTGTGCGTGTGATTTCAAGTCTAATACTGTCCTCAACTACATCACTCAGGAGGACAACATACAATTGAAATAAAAGCAGCACACATAACATATAATGGAATAAAAAGAAATAGTGGCTAAGGAGAAATAGTTACAGAATAAATGTGATCTTCCAAATATCAAGGGGAACTACCTTGAGAAAAAAAAACACTTTAATGAGTATCCAAAAAGTACTAAACTATTATATTATACCAACATTACTGGGGGAGAAAATTTAAGAGAACAATTCCCATAGTGCCTGGCTGGCCCAGTTAGTAGAGCCTGCGACTGTTGATCTTCAGGTTGTGAGTTCAAGCTTCACGATGAGTATACAACTTACATAAAGAAGAAAAAACCCCAATTCCCAAGCCATTAGATTTCATTAAAAAAAAAAAGAGAAAGATATACATTTGATGATAGATATTTGCAAAATATTTTAACTTATATGAATATTTAATCATAATACCCAGAAATGGGATACTAAAAATAAAACACCTGACAACACAAGAACAAGATCTTTAAAAATGATAAAGAATACATTTTAACATGAAAATATATTTTTTTAAATTTTTATTTATTTATTCATGAAAGACACAGAGAGAGACAGAGATATAGGCAGAGAGAGAGGCAGGCTCCCTGCGGGGAGCCTGATGATGCAGGACTCAACCCCAGGGCCCCAGGATCATGCCCTGAGCCAAAGGCAGATGCTCAACCACTGAGGCACCCAGGTGTCCCTAAACCACCTATTCTTTAAAATATTCTTTAATTTAGGTTTCACTAATTCAGAACAACCTTCCTCCTATTACTTTAAATTAGATTGTTATTGTTGTTATTATTATTATTATTATTATTATTGCGGAGATTCAGAGATTTGATATTTATGCATGTTACTACTCAAGGGACAATAAAGATCCATCACAGAATACCAAGCTTTTTCTAATGAAGCTTGAATTTAAACTGCATGAGTCTGTAATTCTGGCATGCACGTAACTGCATAACCAGTCCTTCCAGAAAATATTTTCAAAAATTAAAGTATGGAAAATGGCCTCCATAAGAAAGTCAACCCAGGTCTACTACTAAGCATAAAGGGAAAAACTAAGTTTAAAAAACTATTTTCTTAAAACATATACATTTTTAATAGATTAAAGAAAGGAGTGTCATATTCTGTAGTGACACAGTTATGACTGTGCCTGTCAATATCTGGAATGAAAGAAAAATAATGTGAAAAACTGCTTTCTTGAGTGTTCCATTCAGAATTTTAGTAGCTTAGGAACTGATAAGTCCCATATTTATGGGCTCATTAAGGGCTTGGAGATCACTTAAAACTTTTATATATATACTTTACTACATATTTTTATTGGGTAAATTACATGCTATGATGGTATCTATTAATGTTTTCAATGATTACTGATTTCAATGATTAATGATTTCCAGAGTTTCAGGATATATTCTTTTAAAATGCTATTATTAAACTATATTAGAACACGTGATGCTTGGGTGGCTCAGCAGTTGAGCGCCTGCCTTCGACCCAGGGCATGATCCTAGAGTCCTGGGATCAAGTCCCATATTGGGCTCCCTGCGTGGAGCCTGCTTCTCTCTCTGCCTGTGTCTCTGCCTCTCTCTCTCTCTCTCTCTCTCTCTCTCTCTCGTTGTGTCTTTCATGAATAAATAAATAAAATATCTTTTAAAAAATTTTTAATAAACTATATTAGAACAATGGGAATCCCTGGGTGGCTCAGTGGTTTAGCACCTGCCTTCGGCCCAGGGCGTGATCCTGGAGTCTCTGAATCAAGTCCCGCATCGGGCTCCCTACATGGAGCCTACTTCTCCCTCTACCTGTGTCTCTGCCTCTCTCTCTCTCATGAATAAATAAATAAGATCTTAAAAAAAAAAAAAAACCTCTTCCATAAAATCATGGGCCAAGGGATGGGGAGGGTTAGACGAAACAAGAGTGACAGAATGTTGGTAACTGTTGAAGCTGGGTATTGGGTACATGGAGATTCATTATACTATTATTCTCTCTACATGTGTGTATACTGGATAACATTCTTACAATGCTTTCTAAAACATAAGATTATTCCATAGAACAAAGTGAAGACTTGGTAAGATATAAAGCAAGGTGTACTCAATCTTGACCTTAGAAAATAAGCCAAACAAAAGTCAAAATCAAGCACTGACAAAAGACTATTTAGCACAAAAAAATATATATTGGGAATATTTCTTTCTCTAGCAAACATACTACTTTTCTACTTATTTTTAAATAGCTCACAGAAGAAAGTCCTAGCAAACTGTGACAATATAGAGACAAGATCCAAAAACATGGAGGTAGAGTTATCACCATGGATTAAAATGTCTCCTCTACCAATTCCTAAGTGCTATCAAAGTTTTATTTACTGTATAACCTGCATGAAAAAGAAAATCTGAAAGTATATTTATCTCAGATTATATGTATATTATTTAGAAAAATGTAAAAATTGTATCTCATACAAAATACTTTCTGAAATGTCTCAAAGGAAAAATAATTAAAATAAGCAAAAGAAAATAATCTGTGTCACGTTTTAGTGTTGTAAATTTATAACTCCACTCAGTTGGAGATTAAACTTTCTTTTTCATCATAAGATCACCAACTCCAATTTCTTGGCTGCTGATTCGCATATGATCAGTAGCAGCCAGAACAAAAACAACATGGGGGCAGGGTCATCTCCCACAACCCATCTGTTTCACTCTCTAGTTGGCTTGATTCCATCTCATCTTTTCTTCACCCCACCCCCTTTTGGTCTGCATGCCTTCTGCTGGTGCAGAGTGGCATATGTAACTAGAAGCAACAGCACAAAATGCGTTAGAAAAATGGAAGCACTCAGGCAGACAGCTGATAACTCTAAAAAAAGTATATACTAGCAGTATTTTTTATTATGACCCATGACAGAGTTCGTTTCACAAAAACAAATGATACGGTTCTCCTGAAAAAAACCTTTTCTCTATAAAAATTTTTAATCAATTAATAAACTTTTAGATGGGCAGGTTCTTAATTTATCTTCAATAGTAGATAAACCAGAATCTTACTCTTACTGACTAAGCAGATATATATACACAAAATCCGATACTAATGAATTCAAGACAAATATTTTCTGAGAGTATGTACTAGGCACTGCCCTGGGTCCTACATGAAGTGAGGAAGACATCAAGTCTTGCCCTTATCTCTGTCACTATCACCCCCATCATCTTCAGATGTCTTAAAAACTACTCAGATGTCTAGGGACAGCATATAAAAGGCCTTTCTTTTCCCTCTTCATCATAGAAATAATCTAAAACCAAGGAATTCAAGAAACAGAAAAATATAACATCTACCTTAAACTAGTGGAAGGCACATGGAAGAGTGGTGTGGCTGAAACTTCTCTGGCACTTGTCCCATTGATAGGTAAGGTCTATTTCCCCTCCAATTAATCCAAGCTGGCCTGACTGCCTTCACCAAAGAGTACAGTGAAAGTGACTCTATGCCAATTCCAGGTATAGACTTTTAAGAAACTGGTAGCTTTTACCTTAGTCTCTTGGAGCCCTGTGTCCTAAAATACAGAAGTCTAACTACTGTACTGGAGAGATCATAAAAAGAAGTCTAGGGGCACCCACCTGGCTCAGTCAGTAAAACATGCAAGTCTTGATCTTAGGAACAAGAGTTTGAGCCCCATATGTTGGGCATAGATAATACTTAAAAATAACAATTTTTTAAAAATTTTTTCTAATCTTAAAAAGAAAGAAAGAAAAAAAGAAAGAAAGAAAGAAAAAGAAAGAAGAAAGAAAGAAAGAAAGAAAAAAAGAAAGAAAGAAAGAAAGAAAGAAAGAAAGAAAGAAAGAAAGAAAGAAAGAAAGAAAGAAAGATCATCTAAAGACTATCCTGAAAGGAAGAGCGATCCAGTTGAGACTAGCCTTCTGGACATACGCACCAAAGCGTCAAGCATGTACAATCTTGGTCCCTCCAGACAAGCCCACTCATTTGCTGAATGCTACCATGTGGACCCAAGTTAATACCACGTGAAGCAGAACAATCTCCAAGCTAAGCCCTGGCCAAATTCCTTACCCAAAAAACTGAGATATAATAAATGACATCAACACTGGAAACTGAGATAGTATAGTATGCTATGCCTTCAAATCCTGAAAAGAACTTTTTTTTTAATATTTAAATTTTTTTTTAAGATTTTTATTATTTATTCATAGAGACACAGAGAGAGAGAGAGAGAGAGAGAGAGGCGCAGAGACACAGGCAGAGGGAGAAGCAGGCTCCATGCAGAGAGCCCGACGTGGGACTTGATCCAGGGTCTCCAGGATCACACCCTGGGCTGCAGGCGGCGCTAAACTGCTGCACCACCGGGGTTGCCCAAATCCTGAAAAGAACTTTTATTGTCAAATGAGAATTGGTTATATAGCCTATCAATCACTGTGTAAAGACATTCCAAGCAACACAAGTTTTATCTCCCAAGTAATTTTTTTTTCAGGAAGCTCCATGAAGCTATGGCCTTTGCTCACTTCAGGTTTTCAACTCCACCTGATCATTCAACAGGGACTCTGTCATCCAAGTTTTCCTTTTTCTCCCAACAAAATGGATAAT